GATAATCCTAACGCGTAGACTCATACTATCTCAGCAGAACATACTTTAAAAAATCAGTTGGTTCTCTGACTGGACACTAGATGGCAAAATACCATTTGCCGTTTCTCRAAGGTAATATAGTACATTAAGGTGTATATAAAGGATTCAAGAATCGGTACAATTTAAGATCATACTTCACAGGATCATTTCTGTAGTTAGTCTTCAAAACTGCTTAGCGTAAAGCTGAGTCGGTGCAACTACGATGACGAGTTGTAGCTCTCTTCCTTGAGCGTGAGGACGATATAGAATCTTGGTTCTAACGTCAAGATTCTGGTCACCGATGATCGTTCACTCCTTTTACTCTGTAAAGGGAGCTACGGGAAGCAGAGCTTTCTGAGTAGATGATAAAGTAAAATTTAAAATAAAATATATTCTTTAAATTAAAATTATTCCTACTACAAGGAATTTTGATAAGGTTCTTTTTCAAAACCAAAATATGATGATTCAAAGAGAGCAATTATTATGTCTGTAAAAGTCATTCTTTCTTTTTCCATACTCGTTAAGCAGAATCATATTCAGTCGAACCGCACAATAGTCTCATATAAATTCGATTCATTAAACAATTTCAGCTAGATAGAATAATAAATACGAGGCTACTGCTAGTAAGTTACACGTGATTAGGGCAGATAATGATACTGGGGACCACAACTGATCTGTTGTTGTATAACGAGTATGAAATATATCATCAATTTATCACAATTGAAGGGTTTTTTTTTTGGATTAACTCTTTCCGCCCTTACAACGTGGAAGTGGAAAAAGAGATAGATAGCACACTCCTTTTTCGAACAAAGTGAGAAAGCTCGTGCACGAAAATGTTGTACAGTACCGAAATTAGAACCACCAGCACACATATTAATGCATGTAAAAGAAAATTATTATAATACACAAATGGAGATAAGAAGATAACTACTGTTGAGACAGAGAATGCGTTAGGTTTAAAAAGAACGTAGAACGTAGAACTAAATTATATAAAACCATAAAAAGTATATCACGAACAGAAGAGAGAATATAAGTAGAATAAAGAAAAGTTCGGAAGAAGATATAAAGAACAAGCAGAACATATGAAAGTGAAAGAAATAATGCGAATATTAATATTAAATCAGAAACAGGAACATGAATGTTGAAGATTATTCAAATAGGTCAATACTTTCTACGCGAACAAAAAAGATAAGAAAAGGTGGATTCGCTTTATCGGCGCACGGTTGTCCAAATCCTGAAAAAATAGCCAGAACCTGAAAACCAAGTTTTTTCTTATCAAACATTTAATTGAATATGTTTACGTATATTTAAATAAAGACTAGTAAAACAGGTAGCTACGTTAACGTATTTTTAATGTAATAAACAAATGCGCAACAAAATATTAAAAAGACAAAAACATATTAAATGTGTACAATGTAGAAGATTTATTTATGTTTACAAAAACATGACATTAACATCAAGAAGGCAATAAACAACAACAAAACTATGTCAGTCGACTTTTGTTAAGATTTAAATTCGTCATATTAGACGTACTGTTCATTATGTTTATTAACAGTCATATTGATTTCCGTAGCGAGGATTTATATTTTCTTTGAATAACTTTCCTTGTCTTGTTAGTCAACATTAAAGTTTTATTAGATAGTCAGTTAACGTTCGTGAAACAATCAAGACACTGGTCGAAACTTTTGTATCGTTAATCTGGTTAACATTTCACTTTTGATAAATTAATTCTCCATTTTAATTACGAAACTAAGATCCTTTCTATTCTATAGAAATTTAGGAGCAATATTTTTAAACATAACTCATTGACATTATATTCTTTTGTTGTTTATAAATCCATTTGAAAATACATTACGAAAAGTAAAGTGTTAAATTGTGAAAGTGAAACGAAAAACTGACTAAAGATATTCCATCAAGTCATCTAATCACCTGTATAAAATATAAAAAGTTTAGAATTTTTCTGAAAATATTGAGAAAATGGTAACTTTACCATTTATTTTGCTGAAAAAATTTAATCCAGATTGGATGGATTTTCCTATATGGCTAAATTACTTTGAATATTTAGTCTATGTACTACATATACCAGATAATAGAAAGACTCATATTTTATTAAATATGATGGACTATAATACTATATTAATGATTAAGGAAGAAATAGCCCCTGACAAAATTCAATATCTTTCATATGATATGCTTGTAGATACATTAGAAAATATGTATTCATCTTATCCAGGAAAGTATACGGCAAGGTTTCGTTTTGAATTTCGAAATCAAATGAACGGTGAGCCAGCAAGACATTATGCCGACACTTTAACGAAGTTAATTAAAAAATGCAATTTTATTTATCATGAAGACTCAATCTTACTCGATCGATTTATTACTGGTCTAAGAAGTCAACGAGCTGTAAATACATTGTCACAAATACGAAATCTAACATTGGACATTGCAATAAATTTAACCGAAAGCATAGAATTTCATGAGAACAAAAATTACAGTCCTAAAATATCAGCTAATATGGACTTCAAGAACTTCAACAAGTTTTTAAAATAAGACAAACTAGCATAAATTTTATAAGAACTTCAAAAATCAACAGTTGGATAATCATGAATTTTATTAAAATAATAAGTTAAATTACAGCATCCATTACAAGCAAAAGAAGTTTTTGTAACTGGTTCATATTGTTGCATAAAATATCACAGAGCACATTGTCTCCATTCATAACAGAGTTAAAACAAAACTGTAGCATACGAAAAGTTTGCGTTTATATCTGTAAAACAAAAAAGTAAGTTATCGCAATAAATTCAAATTTAAATTCTACATGTTATTTATTTGGAATTCTTTGTTAATATTAGTGACAAAAAAAAATTGCAAATTATTGTAAATCTTCGGGAGACGAAAATGAAGATTCCTTTTTTTTTCGATTAATATTGTTATTATTTTGTATAACTTACCATAATATTTGTAATATTACTTTTTGTTTCGGATATTTTTACAGGGATTGACGGAGCAGCTTGTCTTGGTTACATATTTTAAGTATAACTTGTATTTGATGCGGTACTAATAAAAAAAAATGTATGAAATGATATTTCGAAAGATCGAARAGAGAAAAGAGACAAACAAGAGTAAAACTTTAACCGTTAACTTTCATCAATGTTTAAATT